AAAGACTACCCATGACTCATGGGAGGATTTTTGCCATAGGTGCATCTGTTGAATTGAAAAGGGTCAAGGGAGGAAGGCATAGTGTCCTTTCTTTCCCTTTCTATATTTTTCTGCATTCTCACATTTAAATAATAAAAAAAAATCTTAACCTTTCATAATTTGTCAATGTTTTTTTTTATCTACCAATGAAATGGGTTATGAATTTCACCATGTGGTGGTATGAACGCTCCTTCCCAACAAGTTCTTCTGTCACAATTTTTAAAATTAAAGGGATCAATCGATGCAAAGGTTTGTGGTTTTGTGACGTTTGTCTAAACTTTGTCAAACATAATATTTACTATTAATTTACTTGGAAATGTTCTAGATTAACAGGCAATATTTTGTGTTTGAGTAGATCTTCTAGCGCTGCGCACCTAATGTTGAATTACAGAATCAGCCGAAGCTTCCCTTTGATTCGGGATATTATAATGCTGTTGGAGTTAAGGATAAAAAGAATTTTCAATATGCTCGGAATAACATACGATATATGTCATTATATAAGTAAAGGGACAATTGTAAAAAAAAATAATTTCTTCACTTGTATAATAACATTTGGCGTATTCCTCTTTATTTGTAAGTGGGAGGTTTTATGTTCGACTCTTGTAAAAAACAAATCGTTTATTAAAAAAAAAAAACATACCGCTTCGTTTTCTTGGCACATTGAAAAAATCTCTTGTTAGAGTGCTCTAGATGTGTTCATGGGAGCAGTTGAGTTGACTACATTAATTTAGTTTCACACCATGTTTATATATATATAGTTTAGTGCGTAAGCATGGTTAAAATGACATTTCGTTTCAGGTCCACATTATATTTTTACTGGTACGACCTAAACCCTTTCTATTAAAAGATTACATTTACAAATTTTTACTCAAATTAATTACCGTATTGTTTTATTAGAGCAATAAAGTTAGTGAGTTAAATAGTCAGTTGTTAAGAGGACGGAATCGATGGGAATCACACCCACACCAAAGTACACCAAAGTACATAGGGCTTTTTGCCACTACGGTAAAACACCATCTGCCAAATTAAAAAGCACTTTATTATCTTACTTTGTCCAAGTAAATGAGTGGGGATCCTTCAGATCTTCAAATCGCATCAGTTCATTGTACATCGTGTGGTTAGAAATCATTGTAATTTTTTATATTTAAAATTGAATATAAACAGTACTTGACGAAAACTGACCACATGATACACGATGAACGGATGTGATTAAAGAATATTCGGAATCCTCATAAAAAGAATCCGACAAGGATACTCTCTCCAAGTAAATAGACAAATGAATCACATTAATTAATGTTTAGGGTTTCGGTAAAAGACAGTTACAAATTTTCCGATGTTTTGGTTTTTTATTTGATATACTAATGAACTTGGTTAATGAATCACCATGTGCGTGTGAACGGTCTTTCCCAACACGTTCTTCTGTATTGACTGGAGCATACGTTATTTGGTGAGAAATCCTCGAATGGCGATTGTTAAGAGAATCGTAGCCACCCAGTTAATAGACCACAATTGACACTCATCTTTTCTCACTTGTTTTTATTTCTTGTAATTCATATAGAATACGTACAAGCTAAAATGTGAGGATGGCTAGCCTTAGTTAAGCTTATGTCCTTCACTACCTTTAAGTACGGTGATTATATATTGGGGACAGATTGTGACACTGCTTTTTTTACGTAAATTTAGGCACAAGTTTTTGTGTGGTCCGCTTTGTAACGTATTCTAATAATCTGAACCGTTTATCTTATAGAATATCATTTATAGATCATCTTTGCAAAATATTAGATAAATTCAAAATCATGATATTTATTTGTAGCGAAGAAAGTGGATGAATATGTTTCTACAAAGAACCCTTAATCCAACGGTCATGGTTTTAGGTAGACATGATCTTTGAAAGAAGATTTACAAGATGAACGGTTCAGATCGTATAAATCATTACAGAGTGAGCTTCACAAAAACTTATGTTAAAAATTGTGAAAAAATGGTGCTATCCCCTTATACATTTTACCATAATATGTGGTATATTATTGATGAAAAAGAAAAATAAGATAATCGCCCTCTATATTTCTCCTTTCTTCTACACCCGTTACTCTTGTAAGTAGTAAAGATTATAAGTTTTGTATATCTTATATTGGTTCTTCGAACATGAAGTTCTGGTTCCACTACAAAAATGAAAGAACCAGCCGTCTTAGTTTTCTTATCTCAACTTAGTCTATGATTTTAGGGATTAATTAATATATTTTGGTGTCCAAACACTCTCTTGGATTAATTAAATGCAACATGCATGAGCCAAAGAATAACTTAACGTCACTGATTGTATTATTTTATTTGTCGGTTTTTCTGGCCATGGGGACAAATAGATTTTAGTTCACTTCTTTCTTATTTTGAACACGTTATTATTTATTCATGCCCTTTCACATTTGTTTGTTCTTTATTTTATTTTATTATTTTTAAATGGAGGTCAAGTGGTCAGGACAGAGGATGAGATATTTTTCTGTGTGTCTGGAACACGGGACGAACACTAATCATTCTACAACCAGAGGGAAACTTTTTTCAAGGGATGAGGATCCTCTCCGGATCCTCTATATGGGGATCTGAGAATCCTTACATCCTAACCGTTCATCATATATCGTGCACCCAGTTCTCATTAGGTATTATTTGTGTTTGATTTTAAATAATTTTTTATCGCACAATATACGATGAATGACTAAGATGTGAGGATCCCTATGATCCCCATAATTTGGATCCTGATGGAATCCAAATCCTTTTTCAAGTGATCATCTAATTATATAATAACATGTGGTGTTTCTCATCATATTCCAGCACACTGAAAGGATGATACAAACTCTAACACTAGGTGTGAAGAACTGATGGACGACATGAATAACAAAATAAAAAGAACTATAAACTGTCCAATAAATAGAGCATCCACTATCAGTTTAGGGTTTTGATTGGCTAAATTATTGGGTTCACGCTGAAACCTTTAAACGACTAAGCTTCAACCCGGATGTACTCACTGTTATTGTCCGTATTGCTTAACAAAATGCGTGGCATATATGCTAGGATAGCAAGAATGCCCATTTTATTTTGCAGAGAACTAAGGACTCAGTCCATTTAAGTAGAAAAACCAATAGACATTGAATCCAATGCAGAGTCTCTATTCAGAAAGCTCATCGCCTACTAACAGTGTGATCCAAACATCCAGGTTTGTCACATTACCTCTTACGCCTTGATCTTGGATAACGACACTATTGAACAAAGAGGACCACGCCCGCTTCTTCGACGGGCTCTACAACGACACTGTTCCCGGTTATTTCTCTTATATGTATGCAACTCACCGAGGATGTGAATGCATATTATAACCATCAGTGGCACAGATGCAATGGCAAACAATTCTCAGCCACGATTATTTCAGCAATCCGTGGTCAATCATGTCATTTGCTGCTGTCTTCCATTCCACTGGCTCAACCTACCAATAGCGAAAACTAAAAATCCATGGTTTCCCGGTAGAACCTCATTTCGCCCAAGTTGGTGCGAAACTGGAAAAGAAAGGGTTTTTCTCACAGCTTGCTCATAGTGCAGGTTCCACTTGTATATTGTATTTGGCCGAAGAAGCGTCGGACAGGTTGGAGTTCTTACCTTCTTGGGACTCCATGGACCAAGATTTGCGCTGCCAGAAAATATAATTGCAACAACTGATGCCGAAGCGGCTTTGCTGGGTGTCGATTATTGCTTTCATGCAGTCCCTGTGCAGGTTTTTTAGCTTGTCGTTTTGTTGACCTTAAAAATTACCAAGCCTATGTGGCGTGCAGGCTGAGTAATTTATGAGCTAACTACGTCCTTCGGTTGAATGCGGGGCGTGCCAACTCGTCGGCCAAGTTCGGCCGAGGAGTAAAATATGCTGATGTTGTGTTGAGTGCGTGGCCGACTTCTGCGTCTTGCGATTGCGATTCGGTCTCTTGGGTTCTCGATACTGAAGACAAGGCTACTATTCTCACAAAGTTCACAAATCGTCGTCGTCGTTGGATTCGGTCACAGTGATGGTATTCGTCGGAGTAAACTCACGCTGAATAGACACCAAAGTGTAAGGGCACAAATACTCAAAGTGGATATATGTCTTAACAATAAACATGGTTCGGCCGTCAGAATGTCGAACTCTAAATCCCACTTGAGAGTATCCAATCATAAACTAACTCGGCGTGCAATGTGCCGAGCCTAATAAATTGTAACACCTCACTTTGCCGGGAAGGCTAATGAGATGACCTCGACCAATAAGGATTCATAATCTTTTTTGACCAAGACTTGGATAGATAACCAGTCACCCTCGACGTAGTGCTATCTATGCCGACTGAAGATGCTGTGAGACCGGCTGATTCTACGGTGACAATGATATCTATGCCGACTGAAGATATCACCGGTTGCCTTCACAGTATTGTTTATCCAAACTAAATGTGTGTCGGCGAAAAAGAAAAGGAAAAAGTCTCAAGGTTGTTGAGAGAATTTGCGCAGGACATTTGTGTGTTGAATTGAAGATCCTTTGAATGTTGCACAACCTTCTCTATTCATAGTGAAGATTAAACCCCATTGCTTGGCGCGGCTTGATACTCATGGAGAGTCCTAACTGGATTCTATCTTGTGGAATTGCATATGGTGGATTCTATCTTGTGTAATTGCATATGGCTATGCGCTAAATCTCCTATCCCTTAGCCAAGGTGTGCTGATAAGCATCCTGTTTTGCACGGCTGACCAATGCCAAGCACACGTGGCTGACCAAATCCAATTCGGCATCCACACCTTTATGCATGCATTAATATCTCTGTCAATTAGGGCTGGGTTCGGTTCTTATCGGTTCGGTTTTTTGCCAAAACCGAAACCAAACCGAAATTTCGGTTCGGCCCAAATTTTTTTCGGTTTTTTTCGGTTCGGTTTCGGTTTTTTTCGGTTTTTTTTTTCCTCCAAAAAATGCAAAACAACCACAAAAAATGCACATTATTCTCTTCGGTCTCGTTCAACAATGGCGCATTTTTCCCTTCAGTCTTGTTCATCAATGTCGTGTCCTGCACTTCAAACTTGTTTACGCTTAACGAAGCATTTTTCTCTTCAGCCTCGTTCAACAAAGTCGCATTTTTCTGTTCAATCTCTTCATCACAGGCCATTGTTGCTCTTCAATCTTTTTTTCGCTCAATTCAGCATTTTCGTCTTCAGTCATCTAGAAGCCTATGCACAAATGTAGTTAATATCAGCCATCTAGATTGCTTTGGAAATGGTAAAATAAGTAACCATATTCAGGTTAAAACTTAAAACCAATTGAAGAATCTGTGCTAAACACGTCACAAAGAATCTGTGCTATTGAGTAAAATAAGTAACCATATTTCTGCTGCTCGTTCAGAAGCACATCAAACAACCATGTTTGTTATATATTAACCATGTTTCTGAGTTCTGACCCTTTAGTTTGTTTATTCACATCAATTTTCCCACTTAAATTTTCACAAGCCATTTCATTATTTTGTCCCTCCCTCACCTCCAAAATCTTCCTCTCCGCTTCCACTTTAAATTTACTACCAGATGGATTAAACTAGTTATTCACAATCTCAGACACATCAAACAACAAGTAATCTGCAGCAACTCAAAACAAATTGCAAAACCATGAAATTTAGAAGCTACAGATCAAATTCATCAGAAGTTTAGAACCAACGAAATTGAAAAAAAAAATCTGCAAAACGCATCATGGGGTGAGAGACTAACCTTGCAAAGGAGGGGATTTGTGGGTCGACACTTGAGCCTTGAACCGGCGAGAGAAAGTCGACGGCGAGTGAGAGGGATAAGAGAAAGATCGCTGAGAGACGGCGACGGGGATGGGTGCTGGAGACGGCGACGGCGAGTGAGAGGAAGGGTTGCTGCAGGGTCTGCACGCTCGCAGCCATGGGGATCGGTGCTGGAGCTTGAGGGAGGACTGAGAGAGAAGAGGGGACAAGAGAGAGAAGAGGGAGAAATTGGAGGCATGGAGGAAGTACTGTCTGGAGGTGTGGCTGCGCAGAGAGAGATGAGGGGAGTGACAAATAGAAAAAGTGTGGCTGCTAGGGTTTTATTGATTTGATTATAAAAATTAAAAAAAATCCCAAAATCCGGGGGGCGTGAAGAGGGTTCGAACCCATGCGCTCCACCAGCTTGGAAAGTTTCACTAACCAACTTCACAACAAGTTCTGTTTTGTTATAATTGTATGACTAAACTATTTATAAACATTGAAAAAAATAATTAAATATATATATCGGTTCGGTTTTGAACCTCAAAAACCGAAACCGAACTGAATAGATTCGGTTCGGTTCGGTTTGAGAGTTTCGGTTCGGTTTTTTTCGGCTTCGGTCCGGTTTGGTTTTCGGTTTTTTTCGGTTTTCGGTTTTTTGAACCCACCCCTACTGTCAATGTCCATTTGCCAACAATGCAGTAATGTATTAGGACTCTTAATAACGTGCTCTGATGCTCCCAATCCACCACGCGTCTTGACTCCAAGAATCCCAAATCACATTGAACTGCATTTGCATCTCATCTATCTTGTACAAGAAAATATCAAGATAATTCATCATTAAAAGATAATTATTATGATAAAAAATCATAATATTACCCTTTAACAATAACAAAATTATCTTTACTTTTATCTAACGGTGTGGAGCTATACTTACTCAACGACCTTGATTGCACGGGCCGATAATGTTAATCCAGGCTTGCCCTTCGTATCAGTTCGCTGAGGACCGTGTCTCAGATCACTCCTCAAGCATTGAAGAATCCTCGGGAACCTTTCATTGCACTATCAGTGCCTTCTTTTGCGCTGGAGCTGATGAATAAATTACCAACAGGTATGTGGAAAAAAGAAACAACATTGTTGAATCAACATTCCACATGTTTTAAAGTACTAATCATGTTTTGCTCCTTTTTTGATTTTGTAGCAATGGTTGTAGCGTCGAAAGACAACAAATTGGCAAATGCAGCTCAGCAGCTCCTGGCTTGTGACTATCTGAGAATCAGCACTTCAAGGTTGTGGATTTTCAGTAAATAGCTATATCAAGTGCAAGTAATCCTCATAACCTCTAATAAACAAGTGAGAATCAGCACGGATTATTGACGACCAACTGACCCTGAAGAAAGCTGTTCTTCAAGGTTGAACCAGTCTGAACCTATTGACTACTTAAACAAGTGAGAATTTCTGCAGACAGAATCCATCATATTCCTAGGTTTATTCTCTCTTGTGTTCATATCTTCTCCGAAATTCTAGCGGGAGATCCATTTTGTCAACCATTGATTTACTGATCCAGAATTCTTTTCAAATCAAGGAATCTCAAACAAGGGTTTTAATCTTGTCTCATCATTTTCTTTCGCATCGATTTCGAGATTGGTAACAAGTTAAAAGTTAAATTCAGAGTTGAGTTTGCTGCGTCTCACAAGTTTTAGCACAAGTCCCCTAAAACCATGCCTCCGAAACATCATGGGAGTTATCAAACCATCGGGTCCGAAGCCCATTCCGTCAACCTTGGCTGGTCTCCGCCGGCCGAGCGAAAGTCCGACCTGGTTCAGCCGCTTCGACCGGTCCATCCGGTCCGACCCGGTCCGACCCGATCCGACCCGGTTCATCTGGTACGACCCCCGATCCAACCGGTTCAGCCAGTCCGACCCGATCCAGCCTTCGATCTAACCGGCCCGTCCGATCGAGCACAGAGACAGAGCCGATCTGAGCCGGTCGACCGATTCTAGCCGGTCCGAGACGAAATGCAGAAAACTCACTGGTTTCTGCAGATTGTTGCTCGGAATTCTTTGCGGCTTCATTGCGTCGCCGTGAGTGCTCCGACGTCCGGTTGGATTACTGGGCTTTGTTTCCAACCTCGAGGCGAGTACAATGGTGGGGTTCTCGCGCCTCGGTTGCTCGCCGGTTGGTACGAAAAAACTTGCCGGAGTTTCTGAAACTCGTCGACAAAGGGCCGGGAAGTCATGAACGTTCCGAGTTTCGAACCCGACGACCGGGAAGGATGTTGGAGCCGAGGCTGGGTGTTATTGGCTTGTGAGGTCAAGACGAAGCTGGTAGTGTCCTTGGTTTGGGAGATGGTGGCCGGGAAAGCTGTACAACGTGTATGCACAGTGACAGTGGGGGAGAGAGGGTGAGGAATGAGAGGAGAGAGAAGAAAACGCGAGAGCAGTGAGAGAGCGAGAGAGAGAGCGAGAGAGAGAGAGACCGAGTGAGGGAGAGAGGAATTCTGACAAGAAGAGCTAGTGGTGAAATGGACCTTTTCTTCGGAAAGGATTGTCCTCTCATTTTTATGTGCGTGTCTTTTTGTGTGTATGTTCACGATTAAATCACGTTAATATTTTATATTACTATTTATTTTTATTTTATTATCTTTATAAAATAAAATAAAATATTAATGTAACTTAACCGTAACTACACAAAACAGGAGGACACGAAAGGTCATCGGAAATGAGAGAGTAGAGAATCCTTGTCCCCTTTCTTCATGTCGACTGCGAGAGGAGAGAGTGAGGGCTGATTTGGTATTGCTGTGCTTTGAAAAAATACTGCTGTGAGAATAAGCGGTTGTGTGGTAAATTTTTTTGTAAAAGTGCTTTTAAAAAAAAAACAGTTTGATAGTGAGTCTTTTCATTAAAGGAGCACTGTAGCTCCATGTGCTTTGAAAAAAAAGCCAGTTTTTCAAAGCTGCAAATAGCAGCTTCAACTTTTTCCTTTGATTTTAGCTTATTCTCAGAGCAGCTTCTAAAAGAAGCATTTTTTTTCAGTTTACCAAACACCTAAAACCCTCACAGCTTTTTTTTATGGATATTTTTGTAAGCACCTCACTCTTAAACCACTCCTGATTCCACTGCAAACAAGTGCACGTGGCCCTCACTCTTTTTACTTCTTTAATTACTCCACTTGAACTTTTCTTTTTACTTTACATTATTATTTTTTCCTTTTGCCCCGAGCAAAGCAAGTAGGAAAAAAAATAAAAAAAACAAAGACCACAAAAAAACTTAGTTATGTAGAATCTTTGGAAGGCAGACAGTTTGTATATTTCCGTCTCTCTATCTCTTTTATAACGCAATGTATATCTCACCAAGTCATGAGAAAAATACGTTGTAGATGCATTGAAAATTCTGCCATTGACTACGTAAAAGTTCGCACCATAAGTCTAATTTATGTCTAATTTTCGTGTTTATTTTACGTATTTTACTTTCTTATACAAACCTTCCACCTCCTCCTCCTTTTGCACCCCTTTTCTTTCTCTTAGGGCTTTCTACTAGACATTGACGGTATGGAGAACACATATTCCTGCAAATGAATGCTGATATCCAGAGAGACTCAAATGGTATATATAAAGAAAAACCATTCGTTATTCTCTCTTGTCCTCCTCTAGATCTTCCCCATGCCCAAACACATGATGATCCAAAGAAACAAGCAAATATGCACAAATAAAACCGCTTAAACTTATAATAAAAAAAAAGAATTAGGATACTAAATAGACAATAAAATATGGCACTAAACCATGGTACTGAAGGCTATAAGAATTGACATTTTATTAACGACGTTGGTTTGGAGTTGAAGAGAAGTCCTACACAGTCACATGTTTTGCTGATTGCAGGCTGCGCAATGTGTACAAGGTGTCAACCCAAAATCCGGGATCAGATGTTGCAGCTGCGACTGCTGCTGCATTGGTTGCAGCTTCCGTAGCATTCAAAGACTCTGACTCTTCTTGCTCTGAAAAATTGCTTCACACAGCAATGAAAGTAAACATCTATTAAACAAAATTTGACTTCATTTTAACAATCTCTTCGCCTTCACCGCGTGTTAACAAGAATGCTAATTTTAAATTTTGATCGCCATGCAGGTGTTTGATTTTGCAGAAAAGTACAGAGGTTCTTACAGTGACTCAATTAGTTCAATGGTCTGCCATTTTACTGCTTATACTCAGGATAAATGTAACCCAAATGCGTGTGCATAATTTGCTTTCTTTTACGAAAAATATGCACAAACGGAACACGTCATTAACTTTTAATCAAAAATCAGAGCTGGAGGGACACCAAACATACCATAATTTATGTAGTCCCTCACTTTTATTTTTTATTTAAAGTTTGTAACTAGTTCTATCTGTATATATTACCCTTATTTTAATCCCGTTAAAGTTCCTCTTATGAGCCCAATTGTGCTGTTACTTAGGATGAGCTTTTGTGGGGTGCATCATGGATCCATAGAGCCTCTAAGAACAGTTCATACCTTGCCTATATCAAGTCCAATGGCCACACATTGGGTGCAGTTCATGCTGATGAATTAGTGAAGTTCATGATGTAAATATACCATTGCCTCGTGAAACCAAGGTTCTATTCAACTCAAATTTAATGCATTAGGGTTTTGATGAGAGAGTTGACAAAATGGATAATGTGAGACATGGAGGAAAAGTAAAGGGGGTTAAGGGAGACATTAGGGGAACAATGAGATTTTATTGTCACATAACGACAATTAAGCCAAGGTTGGCATGAACCTAGCCAACTATGTGTGATGTGTCTTCTCTTTGCCACTCAAGTTCTAATCATGTCTTTTTATTACTGTTCTGAAAATCCCCGCCTAGACGCTAGGCGGCTGGTCATCGTTCCAATTAATGTCTAGACGTTTGAAAATTAAGAAAAGACGCTTAGACCTGCTGAGGCGCCTGTCTAGCCCACCCAAACTTGTCTCGGCATTCGCCTAAGTTGCGACTCACTTAGACAGAAAATATATAACTTTCATTTTGCATTTTACTTTTTACAATAAATTATTATGGACTTGTTGTATAGTTAAATGAACACACATTATATGCTTGTTTCTCCTATTTTCATTGTATTCCAATACTTCATAATATATATATATATATATCTATATATCATTATACTTTGTAGTTTATGATGAAATTATATATATTTGAAGTATAAACAGACATTTATATACATGGAATATAATAAATTTATTTCGCCTAGGCGTTAGGCCCCAGCATGTCACCCGACCAGTCTAGCGCCTATCGTCTTTTAGAACCTTGCTTTTTATAGGTTTTTCATTTATATTTTAATAAGGGCTTTTTAGCTAAATCGCAAAGTGGGTCAACTATAATTAGGTATTTTACTCGTTATCCATGTGAGCTGATAGTATTAGACCTCCCAATTACGAGTATAGGAATACTATCGACTCTCTTTTCAACCCGATGGTTGAGTGAAATTCTTGGTTGGTGTTAATGTTGTTATGCTATTGACAAATAGTACATTATACTAGTATATTGTTAGAATTACCAAAAAATACTAAGTTAGAAAACAACGGTATATTAAACACTGTTAAGTGAGAAGCTAAAAGTGGTGTATATAATGATTATTGCTTGAATAACCACATATCATTTCCCAAAGGAAAAGATATATAAATGGCAGTTTTGATAATCCCATAAATACTCGTGGTTCAACGGGTAAGAAAGAGACTGTTGTGGACCAAAACCTGAAAAACCCAAAACATTATTTGCTTGGGAACTGATCCGACTGGATTGGTCCGATACCATCACAAAATAATCTTTCCTGCAATCGCAGCTCCAAACGAATCTTTAAAATGGCAGAAGCTGCAAAAAATCCAGGTCAGAAATTTCATCGTCTCACGTTATATATGTTTGTTTGTGAATTTTCATGTTCTTATTGCCATCAAGTTGCCGACTTTACCAAAAGTTTAGTGGACTTTTGTTTTTTTTCTTTTTCGAATTGCGATGTCAGTGGGTCAGCAACAGAGAATCATCGTACCCAACAAACACGGTGAAAAGCTTGTGGGATTGTTACACGAAACCAGTTCCCCGGACCTTGTAATCTTATGTCATGGTTTTCGAGCCACCAAGGTTGGATTTTTGATATATCAAATGTTGTTATTATTGTTGTTGTTGGGTTCGGTTCCAGCTGGATTAGGATGTTTATAATTTAAATTATTTTTCTAATATTTCATTCACATCTATCGTCGAACTTTGGTTGTTGAATAATTTAGTTTGTATTTTGAAGACGACAATGTTTTAATAATTGATGATAATACACTCTGGTGCGGGTTCAATCCCCACCCCACCGGTTCCCTCTCCCTAACAACTAACTGTCTAATCCACTAACGTTGTCACCCTACTAAAAAAAAAGGAATAGTACCGCATAGTTCATCGTTCGTGGAAAATTGTAATGCTTGGTTGGCAACTTGGGATCATTGTGGGCAAAAGTTTCACAGCTTCTGTATCTTGATTTCCAGGAAAACTCTATCATGGTGAACCTTGCTGTTGCACTGGAAAATGAAGGGATCAGTTCCTTCCGTTTTGACTTTGCCGGAATTGGGTAAGGCTGTCGAATTACAGGGTTTGAAATCCTTGAATATAACAGGTTTTGAGTAGAGTTTCGTTGTGTGCACCTTGTTAGTTTCATAGTTGTAAGCGTGACTCTGTCTTCATCATACTGTTCTTGCAAAGTTTGCGTTGTTGTCAGTTTGAGATCTAACGATTTTATTGATCCTGATTAGCTGTGGTGTTTTGGTTGTCAGGGAAAGTGAAGGCTCCTTTCAGTATGCTAGCTTTCGGAGAGAGGCTGATGACTTGCACTCTGTTGTTGAATACTTCTCTGGGGCAAAACGTGCACCCAGTGCAATTATTGGACACAGTAGAGGTACGTTGGATTGTGTTGCACGATCAAGGAGAAAATGCTATTGATGAATATTTCGAATGAGTAATTTCGTATTGTGTACCTAAGGTATTGCTGAATATTGTTACTACAGGAGGCGTTGCTGTGCTTCTGTATGCTTCCATATATCATAACATATGTACGGTTGTCAACGTTTCTGGAGGTTATGATCTGAAGAGAGGCATTGAAGAACGCTGTGGAAAAGACTTTATGGAAGTAATCAAGAAGGAAGGGTTCATTGATGTTAAGATTAAGTCAGGTAATTTAATAATTCTTTTCAGCATCTTTCCATTTATGTTCAGTAACATGCTCACGCAACACACTTAAACACACAAAAACAAGCAATGCATGTGCTGGCGTTTAACCCGGTTAATGGAGCCATGCTTGTAGGAGATGGTAATTATCGTCTGACCAAGGAGAGTTTGATGGATCGCCTAAGTACTGATATGCACGAATCATGCCTTAAGATTGACAAAGAATGCCGGTAAGCAAACTGTAGTTAACTCGGTTCTCATGGTTTCGTGTTTCCTTTCTCGGGTTCGAGACTTGGGAGCAGCCTCTCCATAAATGGGGGAAAGGCTAGCCGACATTCATCTCTCCCAGACCCTGCGTAAAGCGGGAGCCTTGTGCACTGGGTACGACCTTTTTTTTCTTTTCTGCATGACCGAGTTTATCCCCGATTCTGTACATACAGGGTGCTGACAATCCATGGAACTGCCGACGAGATCAGCCCTGTTGAAGATGCACTAGAGTTTGCCAAGATAATACCTAACCACAAATTACATCTAGTAGAAGGCGCTAATCATTTGTACACCTCGCATCAAGCCGAGTTAGCATCGGTCGTCATGGACTTCATTAAGGCAGCTCTGCAGCAGGACAAGGCTACTTCAAACTAGATGCTCTGCCAATCAGCATATAAATTTGTTAAGTGTTGCACCCGTTACGACTCAGTCGGATGAAGTCCTCATCTTGAATCTTGATGTAGTTTGATACACACAAGCATGCTTTAGTTTTGCCACAAGTTTGTGCTTACCAATTCAAGTCTCATCTTCTCAATGGTCGATCGCGAGCATTTCAACGGGATTGTTTTTCTACGTTCAGTGACATTAACTACATGATGCAAATCGTTGCACCACGAATCGAGTTTTTACCTCAGAATTTGGTATAATCATTAAATTTATAGCTTAAAGATCAATAAAATGACACAATGAACAATATTAGCAAGTCGTAATGCGTAAATATATGCGAGCGTACATAGAAGTATCATCTGAACACATTCTCCGATTTCATGCGGTTGGTATAAGTCTTCATTGTCTTGACCCCAAGCTTTGGTTCGTCCGGAAAGAAGACATAAATCTGAAACACAAGAACCAAGATGAGTGCTCTCCTATTCTGACTTCTCCAATATGAGTGCCTCCTATTCCGACTTCCCCAGAGCCACCGGTACCGATCTTTCAGCATTTGCATTACATTCTTTCGGACTCTGTAAAGCCTTGTGATTTCTTCTTCTGTTAAAACCATCTTCGTCTCTTATATGTTACAAAACATAGCTTGTCACTTATGTTCCCCCAGAATTATGAAAATTCGATTTCACAGATATTACAATAAAATCTACATTTACAGATGTAGCCCCCAAAATTAGCGTTCCCAAACAATTAAATCAGACAATCCTAAATCCTAACAACACAACAAAAACACAATCTTTCGAGAAAAAAGTTGCCCCCGCTACTACCACTTTTTTGGAGACTAGAGAGAAGCTGCTAGGCATAATTGAGCTAAATAGTTTGATCTCCATCCTTCTCTAAAAGTTACTTCCAAGCAATAGAGAGAGCTAGCTAGGCCGCCAGTCGTGTTACCACGTGCTATAACACGAGTGAGTTTGTAAGATTACATGGCATTGTGACATGTCACACCGAATGTAGATTATATCATGAGTGAGTTTTTGCAAGATTACGTAGGAAATCATATTGAATATGGTGGTGATCTGAGTGTCAACATTTGAAACATGATCAATGTGCATGCTGGCCTTTCACACGGTTGCAAAAAATTAGAAGTCATCAAAATATTTTCGACCTACTTGTAGTACCAGCATCCTTGAATGGAAAACAGCGCAAACTACCAGGGAGTAAATAATCGGCAACAGATCAGCCTCATTACTACTCCTTGATCTAGTATCGATATTGTCTCCAATTCAAACACCTATTCAATCCAAATTGCAGACTTGAATTAACCTTATAGCGTTAGCGAGATAAACATAAAATATTAAGTGATTTTACTAACTTGTTTTACTCTGAAGACAGCGCCTGCGCCTTCAACTGTAAAATATGTATCGATTGTTGAACAGATATGTACACAACAATGCTAATGACTAATGAGTACTCCATGGTGCCAATTAAGGATGAGATCAGAGTTGTGATTGCAGAAAATAATGTGAATACGGAAGCCTTGAGTGAAATAGCATTCAAGTGGAACTGATAACATCTTGGATTCGAGGCAAGCTTCACAAGCAGCCTCCATTCCCAGCTTGTAGTGACATTTCGAATCCCCAATGTACTACGCGCGCATAATGAAAAAGCTTCTCTTGTCGCATAACAACAATTAAGCCGAAGTTGATATGAACCTAGCCAACTATTTATGATATGTCTTCCTTTATGCACTCAAGTTCTAACCCCGTCTCCTTGTAGGCTTTTCATTTATAATTAGGTATTTTACTCGGTATCCATGTGAGCCAATAGTGTGAGACCTCCCAATTACGAGCAAATAGGAATATTACCGACCTTCTTTTCAACCTGATAGTTGAGTGAAATTGATTGGTGCTGCCGTTGTTATGCTATTACCGAAGTGTATATTATATTAGTATATTTGCTTGAATAACCAAAAATACTAAGTTAGAAAACAACAGACATAATCAAATACTGGCGTATGAGAAGCTAAAAGTGGTGTATATATTGCTTGAATAACCACATATGTTTATCGTTTCCCAAAAGAAAAGATAGATAAATGGCAGTTTTGAGAATCCCAGAAATGACCAGGGTTCAACAGGTAAAAATGAGACTCTTGCGGACCAAAGCCTGAAAACCCAAAACATTATTTGGTTGGGAACTGATCTGACTGGATTGGTCCGATACTCTCCCAGTTACAAACTCACTGGAGCTGTGTAGATCGCATCGCAGAGCAACGAGCAGCAAGCAAAAGTTTCTAGGTAAACTTCCACTGCCATTGAGGATTAATTAATCGTTAATTAGCTTATAATCTCAACTAATATGCTGCTCTCAAGTTCTTTCACTTCCATAAGCTTCCCTTCACCGAACTTTAATCTTCCCAGCAATCGCAGCCCAAAACGAATCTTGAAAATGGCAGAAGCTGCACAAAACTCAGCAGGTAAGAAACATCATCTCCCTTAATATATGTATTGGAGTATGTATGTTGTATGTGTTGTAGTTGCAAGAAATCAATCTCAGAGCAATATGTTTATAGTGCTTGATATATGTTGATGGCTGTTTGCTTAATGTCCATTGCACTTGTTTCCGTAGTTCCGCAACTCAAAATCGTTATACCCAACAAACATAGCGAAAAGCTTGTGGGCATATTACATGAAACTGGCTCTGCGGAGATTGTAATCTTATGCCATGGTTTTCGAGCCTCCAAGGTTGTTAGTTCCATCTTATAAGTAGCTAGGATGCTTTGAATTTAAGTTGCTTTGTCAAATATTTCGTTAAGAGAAATGATATATATGAATAGACAACGGGCTTTTTTTTTCTCCCCATGCACACATCTGTATACTTCTGGCCTTTGGATCGAATAAGTAAATGAGAGTCAATGGATTGAACAAGGGTGTGCAGGTGTGCAGAAATCATTTCTGATTTGTAAGATCTATGCTCATATTTTGACTAAAATTTTATTTCATACATGATACATCAGTAACACGGTCTTTTAATTTCTAGGATGAAACGACTATGGTGAACCTTGCTTTTGCATTGGAAAATAAGGAATTAGTTCCTTCCGTTTCGACTTTGCTGAAAACGGGTAAGGCAATTTGGTGTTATAGGACTATAATTCATGAATTTAATGGCAAAGTCTGTGTTAAAGCTAATAAGTTGTAGTCACATATTTAGAATCCCTAATGTACTACACGTGCATAATGAAAACGCTTCTCTTCCAAATTTGGTTTCAACAGGGCCATTTCACCTGGAAAAGAGATGTTGAGAAAGTCAACAATCATACAAGATATTTTCCTAGATTAACATACAATCAACGGTGGTTTGAGCAAATATGTTGGAATGATTACCTTCTTACTTAGTGTTGATTGTATCAATTAGCTAGATATTTACTTTCCTACTTTGTATCAATTGTATGAATCATAGGAATCAATTATAGGGTTTCTTCTTATAAATACTTGTATATTGTAATTTTGGAAATTATCAATCAAAGAAACATTCAGCCATATTAAATTCAATTACCTCTAAGCAGTGGCGGATCCAGGAAATAATATTAGGGGGGTTAGTAAGAATCGTGCGCGCAGCGTGCAATTTTTTTTTAATAGAAATAGCAAGCATATCGTCATTTCATCAAGTTTTGGTAGGCTTTAAGTCATTTGGAAAGGCATACTACACACCAGCTAATGCCTCATTTACGTGGCTAACTAACATGTTCCAAGGCTGCTCCCATATAATGCTTAACAAAGAAACACACTTATCTTGAACACACTAACAATGTTTGATATCATTGCATCCCATTATTATGTTTGTCTAAGAATGATGATGTTTTGTTATTCTTTGAGATCACCATTTCATTTACTTTGCATTTTTGGATAGTTTTTTACTTGGTTCTTTTTTTCTGCCTACAATTGTAATCACAACCAACAAACAAGCCAGAGGTAAATAATATTAGGACTAAACTGTAAAGGGGCGACACCACTCTAATGCATTTTACAAGCAGTTGAAGGGCATATATGAAGGACAACTCCAACCTTTAAGGGGCAACATCCAAGTCATCCATAGACATTCACTGAAGTTCAGATGGTCAGCACTCAAGTTATCCCTGAACAATCATTGAAGTTTGGGGGGTCTGACCCCCCTGCCCCTCAATGCATCCGCCCCTGCCTCCAAGTCATGGAAGAAAATAACTGCGGTATCTACATTGCGTCCTTTGATCGAAAACCAAACCCAGAGACCAATTTGGAGTACCTTGTTCGAGTCATGAGCAGTGTAAAAGAGCTATGCCATGAATGTTATGGCGAAAAAATTGATATGAGTAGTGATAAGTTTGTAGAAATGATGGTGGTGGATGATTGTTTTATTGTAGAAGTCTTTCGCAAGCATACAGTTGACGTGCCCACAGACGAGAATGATCCTGTGTTCTATGCGTCATGGATGCAGTAACAAAAGAAAATGCTGATCCAGAAGACTATGAGCTATACGTCCTTGGGGAGTTCCATCATGTGATTGTAGAAAACATGTTTCTACTTGATAAACAGCTTTCTTGGGGAGTTCCTAACTTTTTATTTGGCGAAACAAAAGAAAATGATAAACCAGAAGACTATGATCCGCTTCAACTTGCTCCGAAGTTATTTCAGCCCTCTTTACTGTATTCCAACAAGCTCCACGGCTGAATGAAGCTCTCGGAATTAAACACTTGATGTCATAAGAGACTCTTTGGTATTTGACTCCTACGCACAAGGAGCATCGCATAATTATTGGGAACCGATTCCTTCTACAAGCTGGAGTCGAATTTAAAGTTAAAAATGACACTTGGGACAACGTGCTCAACATAACATTCGATTACGGAAATTCCACCAGTTGACATTCAAGATAGTGGAGAGTCTCTCTTCAGAAACCTCATTGCCTATGAACAATGTGATTCAAGCATATGCATCCTGGTGTGGGTTTGTTCCTTACCGATTCCATCTCCTCAACAACAAAGTATTTAACCCATTAACGTTGTCACTCTACTAAAAAAAAAGAAATAGTACAGAATAATACATCGTTCGCGGAGAATTGTAATGCTTGGTTGGCAGCTTGGCATCATTGTGGGCAAAGTTTCACAGCTTGATTTCCAGGAAAACTCTACCATGGTGAACCTTGCATTTGCACTGGAAAATGAAGGGATCAGTTCCTTCCGTTTTGACTTTGCCGGAAATGGGCGAGGCTGTCGAATTACAGGGTTTGAAATTCTTGAATATAACAGGTTTTGTGTGGAGTTTCGTTGTGTGTGTTGGAATTCCTCTGTTCCACATCGGCCAGAAGGCTTGAGAACAAGCCTTTTAAATAGAATTACCTTACTTTAACTAACACCGATGTTTTTTGTATTAAAACCTCACACCTGACGGATTGTGCAAGTGGCTAAGTGGGGAGAGTATCGATGTTGTTGGAGTGGGCCATGACCCGTTTACCTGAAATTTAAGATGGTATCAGAGCCAGATGACGGACCCGTACATCCATGTGAATGGGTGGGTCCCCTTTGACCTGGCGCGAACGGGTGAGCCCCGACTTGGCTCTACGTAGGCCAAGAGATGCCACGTGAATGGGTGGGCCCCCATTGGCCTTGGGCAAATGGGTGAGCCCCGCCTTGGCTCCACGTGGTTGCCGATGTGTGTAACTTCACTTGTAACCCATAAAATGGGGTCTCATGTGTGGGGGAGTGTTAGAATTCATTTGTCCCACATCGGCCAGAAAGCTTGAGAACAAGCCTTTTAAATAAAATTACCCCACTCTAACTAACACCTCATTAGTTCCTTCCGTTTTGACTTTGCCGGAAATGTATGAAATTCAACGGCCACATGCGCTCTATATCACTCCGTTTGTATCATATTACCAATTACTTTTGGTGGAACCTCAACTTTCTTTATTGAATGCATTTCAGCCAAACCCTCAAATCCGATACAACATGTCAGGTAACCGGCTAGAACATCATGACCCCGACAATTGTAAAATCTATCTTTCTTCATTAGATGCATTTCAGCCAAACCCTCGGATCCAACACAACATGAAAGGTAGCCGGCCAGACCATCATGACCCACCATCAATTGTCGAGCAAAGAGAAATTTGTAATTTTATCTCTTAATCGTAGATTAAGTGATATGGTTGCAATATTATACTCCTAAGACAGCTTTCCTTTCAATTATTGGTTGCATTATAAGACAGCTTAATTTAATTGAAATGAAATTAAAATATAATCACAACTATCATTCATAATATTTGATATTTGTTGAAACTGGCCTGGCAAATGACATCAGTGCTTAGAGCAGTTCCACCGTTGCTAAGATCTCCCCGGATTATTCACTATTTAATCAACCATATGAACAGTAACTGCCTTTTGCATCTCTACTCCTACACTGAATAGCCCTGGCAATAGCCAATAAAATATTAGTAATTTTTTTTAAATAATACAAAATAATTTTATTTGTAATTTCAGATAAGAGTTTTAATGGATCTCGGTGTACCACTTTCTATTAATTTTTTTTTATTTTTTTTATTTTTTTTTCACATGGTGCAGCACACTATTCCACAACCTTTGTTTTTTTTTTTCACATGGTGCCGATGCACCATTCCAAAACCTTTTTTATTATTATTTTTTTCTTCTTCTTTTCACATCGTGCCAACGCACCATTCCCAAAGTTGTGTGTTTTTAACTAAGGAGTTGACGATCCTTTACCTACTTAACTAAGGAAAAACTGTGAAACGGATCGGCTATTGATGTTGTCAGAGTCTGAGGCCTTGCCTTCGGAGCTCAAGTGAGAGAGAGTTGCAAAGCTTGTAAAAGAAAGAAAAAAAAACACACAACTTTTGGAATGGTGCATTAAAAAAAAAAAAAAGGTTTTGGAATGGTGCATCGGCACCATGTGAAAAAAACAAAGGTTTTGGAATAGTGTGTGGCACCATGTGAAAAGAAAAAAAAATTAAAATAATTTTTTTAATAGAAAGTGGTACAACGAGGTCCATTAAAATTTTTATCCGAAATTACAAATAAAATTATTTTGTATTACTTAAAAAAATAATAATATTTTATTGTCTATTGCCAAGGCTATTCAGTGTAGATGTAGAGATGCAAAAGACATTTACTGTTTATTAAGGGTGGTTACTGTTTATTGGGTGGATTAAATAGTGAATAGCCCGGAAATACTTTAGCAACGGTGGAACTGCTCTTACGATAGATGTGGTAAACGTTGGCGTTCTGATTTTTCTAATTGGATTAGAATAGGACAATTTTATTTTTTATTCTTTTGGGGTCTGAGAATAAGACATAATTAAAAAAATGTTAAATTATTGAAAAATATAAAAGAAATTTTAAAAAGAAGTTATATAAAAGACGTGTGGAGTAGATGACACTCGCCATCGATATCCCAATTGTTGATTAAATAATAAATTCAGTATAATTTTGGGAGGTTATATTTAATTAGGGTAAATATCAGTTTATTACTCTCATGTTTTGTGGTTTTCAACATTTGGTACATCAAGTTTTTCATCTCAGAGTCATGCCTAAAGTGTTAATTTTGAGACAGTCTCATACATCTGTTAGTCAAACTGTTAAGTCTCCTGTTAACTGATGACATGTAGCATATGTAGACAATGATTAGGCGCCACGTGTCATTAAGGGGTCCACAAGGAAATTAAAAATTAAAAAAAAAAAATTTGGTCCTCTTCTACCTCCCCTGACATCTTCCTCCCTTATCCCTCCATTCTCTCCCGTGCACCAACCCACCAAACCTTCCTCTCCTCTCATCTTCGACTCGTCATTAGGGGTGGGTTAAAAAAACCGAAAACCGAAAAGAACCAAAAACCGAACTGAACCGAAACCGAAAAAAACGAACAGAACGAAAAAACCAAACCGAATCGAAAAAATAGAACCGAATCGAATTCTTGTGGTTCGGTTCGGTTTTAGTGATCTAGAAACCGAATCAAACAGAACCGAACCGAATTAATTAAGTTAAATTTTTTATTTAATTATTTGTTTTGGTTATTATTTTCTAAACACAATTTGTAAGTTAAAATGTGCTAAACCCAATGTGTTGCTAAACTTTAAGCTCAAAATATTAAAAAAAGGCTTATAAAAACTCTAAACCCTAACCTATTATTTCTCCCCCATATAAGGTTCCGGAAATAAATCTCATCCTGAAGTACCTACATCCATCTCTATAGCACTGTCTACTTCCGCCCCAGCTTTCTTTTCAAAATCTACTCTCATATAACATGTAACAAAATCCATAAACATTTATTTTGGGTAGATTATTTGGGTAATTTGTGATGGAAAAGAATCCAACACACATTAAATAAATCCACTCACGCATTACTTTTACTAATTAAGTTGTCAACATGCAGTTACAAGCAAACAACCCTGATCTTGGAACAACATCATACAATTTAATTTTTCTAAGTCATTTGTATGATTTTTGTGTTGTGAGGTTGTTAGTTTGGACTTTGGAAGACTTGATTGATGATTTAGTTCAACTTTAAATGTTTATTTTCATTGTCTTTTATTCTAGTTAGAATGCTTAAGTTATGATTGTGTTGGATATATTAAAATTTAAAATTTCAATGTTTTTCATTTTTTGAAAAAAAACAAAAAATAAAAAACCGAAACCGAACCGAAAAAAACCGAAAAAAATTTGAACCGAACCGTACCGAAATTTCGGTTTGGTTTCGGTTTTGGCAAAAAACCGAACCGATTTGAACCGAACCCACCCTTACTCGTCATACATCCACCCTTCCCCCTCCATCTTTAACTCCACCCATCCAACCCACCAAACCCTAATATGCATTGTGCCCACTCTAGCCGCTCGCCTTTTCCTCCCCAAAACCATAATTTGTATTTTCTTAATCCCAATTTCCTAATCATCTCAAAATTTCCACATCAATTCATCTCCTAATTTCAATAATTTATAATAATCCCCATATTTAACCATAGATGGTACAACGTCGTTCAACTCGTGAAACCCTCTCGAGAAACCCTTCATCTTCCTCGACAACCTCACCGTTCAATTCACCGACGCCCAAGATAAAGACGGGGACCAATTTGGCGTCCTCTTCGACCCTTTTGGTATCTTAACGACTTGGAGAAGCCCGTCGTACAATCTGATAGGCAAGCTCAAGCAGGTAAAGTGCGAACTCAGGCCGGTGGTGCTGGCACTGGTGGCGAGCGCAAGGGACTAGCAGAGAAGGAGAAAAGAAAGAGGGGTTGGTCGCTGGATTGGATGAGAGGGTTTGAGAGAAAGTTGGGAAGGGAACAGTGCCGGCGAAGGAGAAATAAGGGAGATCATGGCTTTCTGCTTTCTGTGTTGGGAGAAGAAGAAGAAGGTTCGGGGAGAGAGAGTCCCGACCCTCTGCGTCACTTGCGACTGCAAGAGTGGGGTGGCGAAAGAAGGTTTGGGTTAGGGGGGACACAGGTCGACAGGAAGATATGGGTGTGGGTAGGAGGGTGGGCACGAGGGGATTTGGGGAAGACGATCTGGGTTTTGCCTTTTTTTTCTTTTCACTTTTATTTAAATAATTATTTTTTTGAATTTTTAATTTCTACGTGGATCCCTTAATAACACGTGGCGTTCAGTCATTGTCCATATTGTCGCCACATCATCAATTAACGGTAGAATTAACAATTTGATCGACGAATGTATAAGACAGTCCCAAAATTGACACTTTTGGTATGCCTCTGGGATGAAAAAAACTTGATATACCAAATTTTGAAAACCATGAAGCTTGAGGGTAATAAACTGATATTTACCTATTTAATTATTTGCATGGGGAAATTTCTTTGGTGGTTCTTTGCATGAGAGGGATGTGAAGTGTGAACCAGAAAAAGCAAATGGCCCACTAAATTTGGCCATAACTTGTAGGGGTAAAGTATATTTTTCATAAGAGTATATTTAAAAACTTATTGGGGTCAAAGATTTCCCAATGCACGAGATAGGATCATCACCGGGTCCTCACAATGAGGATCTCATGAATCTTTTAATTTTGTTTGTTCATTGTATATTGTGCGGTCAGTTTCCATTATGTACTGTTTGTGATTAATTTTAAATAATTTTTTACCACACAATATGTGATGAAATAATATAATTAAAGGATTCTTGAAGTCCTCACAAGCATGATCAGTCGAGAATCCTATCTTCCCAATGCACCACCTAGGCTCCCTTATTGTCAGAAAATAGGACATAATTAAAATATTGTTAAATTATTGAAAAATATAAAAGAAATTTGGAAAAGAAATTATATAAAAGAAGTGTGGAGTGGATGACACTCGCCATCAATAGCCCAAATACTGATTTAATTAATATATTCAATATAATTTTGGGAGGCAATAATTAAATTTATTTGATGGGGAAACTTCTTTGGTGGTTCTTTTTAAAGTTGTGGCAGAAGTTACTTGTTCTTCCCCCTGTTTTCATTTTCATCATTTCACTGTCAACCAAGTTGGTTATAAAACTTGCTTCACCAAGATTTACTCTTTTACTAAAATCGAAGCCCGATCGAGAAAAATCTTGAAAATGTCACAAGCTGCAAAAAACCGGCCAGCGGGTAAGAAAGATCATCTTCCTTAATATATGTATTTGTGTGTGTATGTTGTATGTGTTGTAGTTGCAAGAAATCAATCTCAGAGCAATATGTTTAGTAATTTGTATTTTGATGGCAAGAAATTATTCTTATATTCTCACACTTGATAAGAAATTTGATGGCTGTTTGCTTAATGTCCAAAGATTGCTAGACTGCAGAGGAGAAACTGCATCAAATTCGATCAACCTCGTAAGTTCTACTAATTGTCAACAAATTTATTCTTTGTTTTACTAAGCATATATAGTAGATGTAGAAGTTTTCAGGTTCCGATCTCCATTCAATTACCTATGTTTACTTCTCACACACTCCTCTCAATTTTTGGCATCAATGGATTGAAGAATATCAATGCAAAAAAAATTAACAAGAGTGTGTGAGAAGTAAAAGGAGCTGTGAATATCCCTTTAGTTATTGACATTTGGTTGCAGCTTGTAACAGTAGTTTCAATTTTTCCTGTATTAAAAAGCAGATTTAAACTAAGTAGGCGATTAGAAAGGCGTTCGTGATGGTAGACAACAAAGTTAATGATCACTCCATCGTGGAGATTACGGATGAGGACAGAGATGTGATTGCACGAATCAATGGGAATTCGGAAACATCGCGTGAACATAAAAATCAAGTGGAATTGACAGTATCATCTCTTCGAGGAAAGCTTCACCGGCAGCCTCCATTCCCAGCTTGTAGCTGCATATTTCGAGTCCCTAAAGTACTACGCAGGCATAACGAAAAAGCTTTTGTTCCAAATTTGGTTTCAATAGGGCCTTTTCACCACGGAGATGAGAACTTGCGAGTGATGGAAGAAATCAAACGGTGGTACTTACATTGGCTACTTGAACGAAACCAACTCCGAAGACCAGCTTGGAGTGCTTTGTCGAGGCCATTAGAGGCATAGAACAATAATGCATCGCGATTGCTATGGTGAAAAATTCGACATTTGTAGTGGAAAATTTGTGGAAATGATGGTGCTTGATGGTTGCATTATTGAACTCCCCCGCATGAGTAAAGGACTGGTACCCTGCGATGATGATGATCCCTTGGAGTATACCTCTTGGATGCTCAAGATAGTTAAAAACGACTTGTTTCTACTCGAAAACCAACTTCCTTGGAAAGTTCTTGAATGTCTATTCTGCCACACGGTAGGAAATGACAAGTATTCTCTACTTAAGCTTGCTCTTGAATTCTTTGACTCGTCCGTATTGGACCAGACTCCACAGATCAAAGGAGGGAAACTAGACATTTACTTGATGCCATAAGAGCCTCTTTAATTTCCTCGCACCAAGCCGCAATCAGCACTGAAAAGGTTTTGGGAACTTATACCAACTGTCACGGAACTTCTTCAAGCTGGTGTCAAATTCAAGAGTAAAAACAGTAATTGGAGCAACATGCCTGACATAACCTTTGAAAAGGGAGTTACGGAAATTCCACCAATAGACATTGAATCCAATGCAGAGTCTCTTTTCAGAAACCTCATCGCCTACAAACAGTGTGATCCAAACTCCGGATTTTTCACATTAACTCTTACGCCGTGATCTTGGAAATTCCACCAAGATCCTGTGCAGGTTTTTCAGCTTGTCGTTTCTTCAAGGGATTCCAGAACATGTTTATCCAGGCTTTCCTTTCATTTCAGTTAGCAAGGGTTTAGAGGTCAATACGCTGAGGACCATGTCTCAGATCATTCTTCAAACATTGAAGAATCCTCGGCAACCTTTCATTGCACTATCACGGCCTTCTTCTGCGCTGGAGCTGATGAATAAATTACCAACAGGGTACGTGCAAAATAGAAACAACATTGTTGAATCAACGTTCCACTAAATCATGTTTTAAAGGTACTAATCGTGTTTTTCTCCTTTTAAAATTTGTAGCAATGGTTGTAGGGTCAAAAGACAAAAAATTGGCAACTGCAGATCAGCAGCTCCTGGCTTGTGACTGTCTGAGAATCAGCCCTTTAAGGTTGTGGATTTTTAGTAAATAGCTATATCAAGTGCAAGTAATCCTCATCCTATTCAAATATTTATAGATTTAAGTGGATGGCAGTAGCTCGGATTATTGACAACGAACTGACCCCAAAGAAAGATGTTCTTGAAGGTGTTCGGGCAAAGATTTCTCTGGAGAAGGACCTTTGGACCTCAACACAGCTCCCCAAGTGATTGGCACTTTGGATATATGTTTGGTAATCGGGCTCTTGCTTGCTGGTGTGCTACAAGAAGAGTATAACATTAGTTTTGAGAGGTGCCTTTGTAGGGCCTTAGGTGTAGGCCTTGAGGCTCACAATCAAAACTAACAAAGTGCTAGACATGCCACTACTATCTCAGTAGCAGATGTAGAACAAATGTGTTTTAAGTTGATTACCTGCGCCCCAAGTTACTCAAACTTCTTGTTATCAAAGGATTGTCACAGATGGGTTAAGTCTGTGTTAAGTTCTTCTTATTGCCTTGTAAACAAGGACTTTTAGTTCATAATCTTGTATGTTCGGACAGAGGGAGTTCAGAACCCTTTAAGTCATTTGCTTGGTTCCAAATTGCTTGGTTCAGAACCCTTTAAGTCTTTCCCCAATTGTTCGGACAAAGAGAGTTAACAAAGTGGATAATGTGAGACATGGAGGAAAAGTACACGGGGTTAAGTGAGACATGAGGGGAACAATGAGATTTTATTGTCGCTATGAACCTAGCCAACTGTGTGATGTGTCTTCCTTTCTGCACTCAAGTTCTAATCCCATCTTTTTATAGGCTTTTCATTTATTCTTTGATGAGGGGTTTTTAGCTAAATTGCAAAGTTGGTCAAACTACAATTAGGTATTTTACTCGTTATCCATGTAAGCAGATAGTATAAGCTCTCCCAATTACGAGTAAATAAGAATATTACCGACCCTCTTTTCAACCCAATAGTTGAGTGAAATTCTTTGTTGATGTTGATATTGTTATGCTATTGCCGAAGAATATATTATATTAGTATATTGCTTGATTAACCAAAAAATACCAAATTAAAAAACAACAGACATAATCAAACACTGTTAGAAGCTAAAAGGCGTGTATATATTGCTTGAATAACCACGTACGTTATCATTCACCAAAAGAAAAGATAGATAAATGGCAGTTTCGAGAATCCAATAAATAATCAGGGTTCAACAGGTGAAAAAGAGACGTGTTGAACCTGAAAAACTCAAAACATCATTTGGTTGGGAACTGATCTGTCTGGATCGGTCCGATACTCTCCCAGTACCAAACTGAGTGGAGCTGTGTAGATTGCAATTCAGAGCAACAAGAGCAGCAAGCAAAAGTTTCGAGGTAAACTTCCGCTGCCTTGAGGATTAATTAATCGTTAATTAGTTTATAATCTCAATTAATATGCTACTCTCAAGTTCTTTTCACTTCCATAAGCTTCCCTTTACCATACTTTAATCTTCCCCGCAATCGCAGCCCAAAACGAATCTTGAAAATGGCAGAAGCTGAACAAAACCCAGCAGGTAAGAAACATCATCTCCCTTAATATATGTATTTGTGTATGTATGTATGTTGTATGTGTTGTAGTTGCAAGAAATCAATCTCAGAGCAATATGTTTACAGTACTTGATAAGAAATTTGATGGCTGTTTGCTTAATGTCTATTGCACTTGTTTCAGTAGCTCCGCAACAGAAAATCGTTATACCCAACAAACATGGCGAAAAGCTCGTGGGCATATTACATGAAACCGGTTCTGGGGAGATTGTAATCTTATGTCATGGTTTTCGAGCCTCCAAGGTTGTTAGTTCCATCTTTATAACTAGCTAGGATGCTTTGAATTTAAGTTACTTTGTGAAATATTTTGTTAAGAGATGATATCAACAGTCAACGGGCTTTTTTTTCTCCCCATGCACATCTCTGTATACTAGTAGCCTTTGGATCGAATAAGCAAATGAGAGCCAATGGATTGAAACAAACAAGGGCGTGCAGAATCATAAAATTAGTGTGCATAAGTCATTTATCTTCATTAATAACTCGATAAATGGTCATATTTTGATTAAAATTTTATTGCATACATCAGTAACATGGTCTTTTGATTTCTAGGAAGAAACAACTATGGTGAACCTTGCTGTTGCATTGGAAAAGGAAGGAATTAGTTCCTTCCGTTTCGACTTTGCTGGAAATGGGTAAGGCAATTTGATGCTATAAAAAAAAAGGTCGTACCCAGTGCACAAGGCTCCCGCTTTTGATGCTATAGGACTATAAATTCATGAATTTAATCGCAAATTATGCATTAAAGCTAATAATTTGATGCTCTAATAAGTTGTGGTTTACTTTGGTTTTCAGAGAGAGTGAAGGCACCTTTCTGTATGGCAACTATCGGAGAGAGGCCGAGGACTTGCATGCTGTGGTCCAACACTTCTCTAGGGCAAACCGGCCACCAACTGCAATTCTTGGGCACAGTAAAGGTATGTGCCGGATTGTTTTAAATAATCACGATTTCTGTATCTTTGTGCCAAAACTGTTTATAGATTGATGTTACTGCATGCAGGAGCTGGTGTGGTGCTCCTGTATGCTTCTAAGTATCATGACATTCGTACGGTTGTCAATCTTTCTGGACGTTATGATCTGAAGAAAAACATTGCACCACAATTGGGGAAAGACTTCATGGAAATAATCAAGAAGGAAGGATTCATTGATGTTAAAACTAAGACAGGTAATTTGCAATGTTTGTGTTTATTCTCACCATGTGTGGTGATCATTCGACAATTGGCCACATAAGTAAACACACAAAAACAGGCAATGTGTATATATTCTGGTCTACCGTAAATGGATACTGTGCTTGCAGGAAGTGTGATTTACCGTGTGACCGAGGAAGGTCTGATGGATCGCCTAAGTACTGATATGCACGAATCATGCCTTCATATTGACAAAGAATGCCGGTAACTAAGCAAACTAATTAATTTTGTTTTCACTGTTTTATGTTTCCTTTGCCTTTTTCTTGCATTGTGAGCATGACCGAGTTCATGGGCTATTCTGTACAAAGGGTGTTGACAGTCCATGGTTCTGCTGATGAGGCCATCCCTGTCGAAGATGCATTCGAGTTTTCAAAGATAATACCAAACCACAAATTACATGTTATCGAAGGAGCTAACCATTGTACACCTCACATCAAGCTGAGTTAGCGACAGTCGTTTTGGACTTCATAAAAGCAGCTCTGCAGCAGAACAAGGTTAATTAGCATATCATGCTTATGTACTAATAAGAGAATCCTCATCTTACCGTGGTGATTCTGAGAAAATATTTTATTGGTTTAACCTTTGCCAAATGTATGACGTTTTGTTTTTGTTGTAAACCATTGCTATGATCTGTTGCATGAAATAGTGAAGAAGTTCATGATTCATTGCCTCAAGAAACCAAGGTTCTATTCTATTCAACTCAAATTTGAAGCATTAGGGTTTTTATGAGAGAGAGTTGACGAAATGGATAATGTGAGACATGGAGGAAAATTACGAGGCGTTTAGTGAGACATTAGGGGCACAATGATTCATTGTCGCATAACAACAATTAAACCAAGGTTGATATGAACCTAGCCAATACCATGTGTGATGTGTCTTCCTTTCTGTACTCAAGTTCTAATCCAAGGTTTATTTATACTTTAATGAGGGGTTTTTGGCTAAATTGCAAAGGTTTATTAAGCCAAGGTTTATTATAAGCTTTTTATTTATACTTTAATGAGGGGTTTTTGGCTAAATTGCAAAGGGGTATTTTACTCATTATCCATGTGAACCGATAGTATAAGATCTCCCAATTACGAATAAATACGAATGTTACTGATCATATTCTCAACCTAATGGTTAGTGCACTCGCATGAAATTCTTGGTTGGTGCTAGTGTTGCTATGCTATTGTCAAAGTGTATATTATATAATT